GAAGAAATCGTTAAGGAAAAGGAACCGGAAGAAGAGAAAACGCAGGAACAAACGGAGCTTCCTAAGGAATGGAGAACATTGAAGAACCACCCGATTGACAATGTCATTGGTGATCTAACGCAGGGAGTTTCTACTCGTAATTCTCTTAGGAACACAATTAATCACATGGCCTTTGTTTCACAAATTGAACCAACAACCGTTTTGGATGCTATTAATGATGAACATTGGTCTATGGCAATGCAAGAGGAGCTTAACCAATTTAAACACAATGATGTTTGGGAATTGGTACCTAGACCTAATGATCATTCCGTTATTGGCACAAAATGGTTGTTTCGTAACAAACTCGATGAAAATGGTATAATCACTAGAAACAAAGCTAGGCTTGTAGCTAAAGGCTACAATCAAGAAGAAGGCATTGATTATGAAGAAACTTATGCACCGGTTGCACGTTTAGAAGCTATTCGTTTATTGCTTGCATTTGCATCTACAATGGATTTTAAACTTTATCAAATGGATGTTAAAAGTGCCTTCCTTAACGGTATCATTCAAGAGGAAGTGTATGTCGAACAACCCCCGGGTTTCGAAGACTATGAGTTTCCCGAACATGTCTTCAAACTCAAAAAGGCGCTTTACGGTCTCAAACAAGCACCTCATGCTTGGTATGAACGGTTAAGCAAATTTCTTTTGGACCATGAGTTCAAACGAGGTCAAGTCGACACTACTCTTTTTATCAAGAAAGATAACCAAGACATACTTTTGGTTCAAGTTTACGTAGATGATATCATATTCGGTGCTACTAACGAGGTTTTGTGCAGGGATTTTTCCGATATGATGCAAAGTGAATTTGAGATGTCGATGATGGGAGAATTAAAGTTCTTCCTTGGGCTACAAATTAAACAATGCAAAGAAGGGACATTCGTGTGTCAAACGAAATATTGCAGGGAATTGCTTAAGAGATTCGATGTTACCGAATCCAAATCCATTGACACACCGATGATCACCTCTAGCTATCTCGACAAGGATGAAAAAGGTAAAGAGGTAGACATCAAACGCTACCGAGGTATGATCGGCTCTTTACTTTATCTTACTGCGAGTAGACCGGATATCATGTACTCCGTTTGTATATGCGCTAGGTATCAATCTTGTCCTAAAGAGTCGCACTTGGTTGCGATCAAAAGGATAATGCGATATCTCGCGGGCACGTTGAACGTAGGTCTTTGGTATCCCAAAGGTTCGACATGTCATCTTGTTGGCTATTCCGACTCGGATTTTGCAGGTTGCAAACTCGATAGGAAAAGTACCAGCGGCACTTGCCACTTATTCGGTCATTCGTTAATCTCGTGGTTTAGTAAGAAACAGGTTAGTGTTGCACTTTCCACCACCGAAGCGGAATATGTCGCTGCGAGAAGTTGTTGTGCCCAAATTCTTTGGCTAAAACAACAACTAGTGGATTTCGGCCTCATACTTGATCACATCCCTATTAGGTGTGACAATATGAGCGCTATCAGTCTAACGAAGAACCCTGTTCTTCACTCAAGGACTAAGCACATAGAAATTAGGCATCACTTCATACGAGATCACGTCCAAAAGGGAGATGTCACAATTGAGTTTGTTGAAACGAAACATCAATTGGCAGACATTTTCACGAAACCCCTTAGTAGGGAGAGCTTCTTCCACATTCGGAACGAACTTGGAATTTTGGATATCTCTATGAACTAATCCATTCTTTTATTGACTACACTAATTTGAGCGTCGGAGGCGCGATAAATTCTTTTTGCAGGGCTTTTATTGTAGGTATCTCTTCCCTTGGTATGCAACCGAATTGGACTTGATGTTTTTTTTCTCAACAAAGCTGTAATTGATTATTCCTCGAAGAGAAATCGATTAGTCACCTCTGTCCCTCTTAATCGATTACTCGTTTCTTTTTAATCGATTAATAACCAAAAACGTTTTAGCGCTGATTCACAGAAAGCGATTAATTTTGTTCAATTAATCGATTAGACTCATCTGTCCATATTAATCGATTAACCATCTCTGTTTAATCGATTAATAGCTTAAAAAAAAGATGTTTGGTTCTGCTTACTTCTAATCGATTAATAAGCTTAACTTAATCGATTAGCCTCGGCTGTGTTCCCTAATCGATTAAATACTTGTGCTTAATCGATTAATAGTCGATTTTTTCCTTATATCACACCCAGTCTTCGTCTTCTTCGCCATTCCCTTTTTCGAATCAGAGAAATCCTAGCTTCTTCCCCTCTCAATTTTTCTCATTCTTCATCATAAAATTCTCAAATTTCTTCCATTTTTTTGCCAAATTTCATCAATTACAAAAAGGAAGAATGCCAAGGTGCAAGAACGCTTCCTCGGGTCAAGAAACGGCAGCAGAGGAGAATGAGAGGCCATGGCGTCGTGAAGGGAGCAAGTATATTCACATTCAAACGGGTCTCGCCTTCAACACTGTGTTGGAGTTGTGCCCTGATGGCCAACTGTTTATCGTTATTCTATCATGTATAGGCAGATATAATATGTTTACACATCTCATGCTAATGTAAACAAATATTATATTCCTAGATTTATATTTAAAAGATGTTTATCAGATAGTGTTTTTCTGCTGATGAGACTAACATCTTGAAATAAATATTTATCTAAATGTCCATAGTCGAGTATTAACGAGAGTGGGATATCGTTAATGCATGTGAGACTAGTGTGTGTTGGATGTTTGACTTAGTCTCATGGTCAATGACGGTGTGTTCGCATCCGCACATGGGCAGATATTATCTAGAGATAATAGGATGCCGGACTGACCCATTCTAAAGATGTTGCTTGAATTTTTAGTTCATGCTCTGAGCATCTTTAGCGCGACCACGGGTGTAACTATCCTTCGACTTGAAGTATTACGTTTTCTGCATATGTGAACCCGCATACTTTGATGCATTGTCCTAAGCCATATGAAATAAGGATGGTATACAGGCTTTGTTTTGGGTATGCCGCAG